GCGGCACCTGGCATTGGCCACTGTTGGAAGACAGGATGCTGAGCTAGATAGACCTCTGGTCTGACCCAGAATGGCCGTTCTTATGTTGTTACACGTTTGCGGAGAATAAGGCTCCATGAATAAAATAGATATGGCTTAGAAAAATTACTTTTAAGATTTGCTTCCCACTATTCTGAGTTTGCTTCTTGCAGTAGCTAAAAATAAAACCATACAAGATAAGATGCCGATTGGAAGGCATGAGATGCACTGTCCTAGGGATGGGGGTTCCACAACCACCGCTCCGAAGAGGTGGAGGCGGGTGGTGGTTGTCGGGGACTGAGTCATCTATCTGCCGCCCCGACGGGGAAAACCAAGAAGTCTGCTGCTTTCCAGGAGCTAGGATTCATGATGTGACGGAGAGACTGCCGAGACTCATCAAGCCCTTGCATCGCTACCCCTTCCTGCTTCTCCACGTGTGCACCAATGATACTGCCAAGAATGACCTTGAGCGGATCACTGCGGACTACGTGGCTTTGGGAAGAAGGATAAAGGAGTTTGAGGCGCAAGTGGTGTTTTCGTCTATCCTCCCCATGGAAGGAAAAGGCCTGGGTAGAGACCGTTGAATTGTGGAAGTCAACAAATGGCTATGCGGGTGGTGTCGGAGAGAAGGCTTTGGATTCTTTGACCATGGGATGGTGTTCCAAGAAGGAGAAGTGCGAGGCAGAGACGGGCTCCACCTAACGAAAAGAGGGAAGAGCATCTTCACAAGCAGGCTGGCTAACCTAGTGAGGAGGGCTTTAAACTAGGTTCCCGGGGGAAGGAGACGAAAGCGCTGAGGTAAGGGGGGGAAGTGGGATGCCGGGAGGAAGCACGAGCAGGTGCGCGCGAGAGGGGAGGGCTCCTGCCTCATACTGAGAAAGAGGGACGATCAGCGAGTTATCTCAAGTCCCTATACACAAATGCAAGAAGCCTGGGAAACAAGCAGGGAGAACTGGAAGTCCTAGCACAGTCAAGGAATTATGATGTGATTGGAATAACAGAGACTTGGTGGGATACCTCACATGACTGGAGTACTGTCATGGATGGATATAAACTGTTCAGAAAGGACAGGCAGGGCAGAAAAGGTGGGGGAGTTTTACTGTATGTAAGAGAGCAGTATTACTGCTCAGAGCTCCGGTATGAAACTGCAGAAAAACCTGAGTGTCTCTGGATTAAGTTTAGAAGTGTGAGCAACAAAGGTGATGTCGTGGTGGGAGTCTGCTACAGACCAGCGGACCCGGGGGATGAGGTGGACGAGGCTTTCTTCCGGCAATTAACGGAAGTTACTAGATCGCAGGCCCTGGTTCTCATGGGAGACTTCAATCACCCTGATATCTGCTGGGAGAGCAATACAGCAGTGCACAGACAATCCAGGAAGTTTTTGGAAAGTGTAGGGGACAATTTCCTGGTGCAAGTGCTGGAGGAACCAACTAGGGGCAGAGCTCTTCTTGACCTGCTGCTCACAAACAGGGAAGAATTAGCAGGGGAAGCAAAAGTGGATGGGAACTTGGGAGGCAGTGATCATGAGATAGTCGAGTTCAGGATCCTGACACAGGGAAGAAAGGAGAGCAGCAGAATACAGACCCTGAACTTCAGAAAAGCAGACTTTGACAACCTCAGGGAACTGATGGGCAAGATCCCCTGGGAGAATAACATGAGGGGGAAAGGAGTCCAGGAGAGCTGGCTGTATTTTAAAGAATCCTTATTGAGGTTACAGGGACAAACCATCCCAATGCGTAGAAAGAATAGTAAATATGGCAGGCGACCAGCTTGGCTTAACAGTGAAATCCTTGCTGATCTTAAACACAAAAAAGAAGCTTACAAGAAGTGGAAGATTGGACAAATGACCAGGGAAGTGTATAAAAATATTGCTCAGGCATGCAGGAGTGAAATCAGGAAGGCCAAATCACACCTGGAAGTGCAGCTAGCAAGAGATGTTAAGAGTAACAAGAAGGGTTTCTTCAGGTATGTTGGCAACAAGAAGAAAATCAAGGAAAGTGTGGGCCCCTTACTGAATGAGGGAGGCAACCTAGTGACAGAGGATGTGGAAAAAGCTAATGTACTCAATGCTTTTTTCGCCTGTCTTCACGAACAAGGTCAGCTCCCAGACTACTGCACTGGGCAGCACAGCATGGGGAGGAGGTGACCAGTCCTCTGTGAAGAAAGAAGTGGTTCGGGACTATTTAGAAAAGCTGGACGAGCACAAGTCCATGGGGCTGGATGCGCTGCATCCGAGAGTACTAAAAGAGTTGGCGGATGTGATTGCAGAGCCATTAGCCATTTTCTTTGAAAACTCATGGCGATAGGGGGAGGTCCCAGACAACTGGAAAAAGGCTATGTAGTGCCCATCTTTAAAAAAGGGAAGGAAGAGGATCCAGGGAACTATAGGCTAGTCAGCCTCACCTCAGTCCCTGGAAAGATCATGGAGCAGGTCCTCAAGGAATCAATTCTAAAGCACTTAGAGGAAAGTGATCAGGAACAGTTAGCATGGATTCACCAAGTGCAAGTCATGCCTGACAAATCTAATTGCCTTCTATGATGAGATAACTGGCTCTGTGGATGAGGGGAAAGCAGTGGATGTGTTGTTCCTTGACTTCAGCAAAGCTTTTGACTCGGTCTCCCACAGTATTCTTGCCAGCAAGTTAAAGTAGTATGGGCTGGATGAATGGACAATAAGGTGGATAGAAAGCTGGCTAGATTGTCAGGCTGAATGGGTAGTGATCAATGGCTCCATGTCTAGTTGGCAGCCAGTATCAAGTGGAGTGCCCCAAGGGTCGGTCCTGGGGCCGGTTTTGTTCAATATCTTCATAAATGATCTGGAGGATGGTGTGGACTGCACCCTCAGCAAGTTTGCAGATGACACTAAACCGGGAGGAGAGATAGATATGCTGGTGGGACACAGAGGGACCTAGACAAATTGGAGGATTGGGCCAAAAGAAATCTGATGAGGTTCAACAAGAACAAGTGCAGAGTCCTGCACTTAGGACGGAAGAATCCCATGCACCGCTACAGACTAGGGGCCGAATGGCTAGGCAACAGTTCTGCAGAAAAGAACCTAAGGGTTACAGTGGACGAGAAGCTGGATATGAGTCAACAGTGTGCAATTGTTGCCAAGAAGGCCAATGGCATTTTAGGATGTATAAGTAGGGGCATTACCAGCAGATCGAGGGACGTGATCGTTCCCCTCTATTCGACATTGGTGAGGCCTCATCTGGAGTACTGTGTCCAGTTTTGGGCCCCACACTACAAGAATGATGTGGAAAAATTGGAAAACGTCCAGCGGAGCACAACAAAAATGATTAGGGGACTGGAACACATGACTTATGAGGAGAGGCTGAAGGAACTGGGATTGTTTAGTCTGCGGAAGAGAAGAACGAGGGGGGGATTTGATAGCTGCTTTCAACTATCATAGAATATAAGGGTTGGAAGGGACCCCAGAAGGTCATCTAGTCCAACCCCCTGCTCGAAGCCTGACCAATTCCCAGTTAAATCATCCCAGCCAGGGCTTTGTCAAGCCTGACCTTAAAAACCTCTAAGGAAGGAGATTCTACCACCTCCCTAGGTAACGCATTCCAGTGTTTCACCACCCTCTTAGTGAAAAAGTTTTTCCTAATATCCAATCTAAACCTCCCCCACTGCAGCTTGAGACCATTACTCCTCGTTCTGTCATCTGCTACCATTGAGAACAGTCTAGAGCCATCCTCTTTGGAACCCCCTTTCAGGTAGTTGAAAACAGCTATCAAATCCCCCTCATTCTTCTCTTCTGCAGGCTAAACAATCCCAGCTCCCTCAGCCTCTCCTCATAACTCATGTGTTCCAGACCCCTAATCATTTTTGTTGCCCTTCGCTGGACTCTCTCCAATTTATCCACATCCTTCTTGAAGTGTGGGGCCCAAAACTGGACACAGTACTCCAGATGAGGCCTCACCAATGTCGAATAGAGGGGAACGATCACGTCCCTCGATCTGCTTGCTATGCCCCTACTTATACATCCCAAAATGCCATTGGCCTTCTTGGCAACAAGGGCACACTGCTGACTCATATCCAGCTTCTCGTCCACTGTCACCCCTAGGTCCTTTTCCGCAGAACTACCTGAAAGTGGGTTCCAAAGAGGATGGCTCTAGACTGTTCTCAGTGGTAGCAGATGACAGAACGAGGAGTAATGGTCTCAAGTTGCAGTGGGGGAGGTTTAGGTTGGATATTAGGAAAAACTTTTTCACTAGGAGGGTCGTGAAACACTGGAATGCGTAACCTAGGGAGGTGGTGGAATCTCCTTCCTTAGATATTTTTAAGGTCAGGCTTGAGAAAGCCCTGGCTGGGATGATTTAATTGGGGATGGGTCCTGCTTTGAGCAGGGGGTTGGACTAGATGACCTCCTGAGGCCCCTTCCAGCCCTGATATTCTATTCTATGATTCTAAGAGGACACCTGAAAACAATATCGAAATAAATGCCAAGTGGCTCCACCCGAAATCCAACATATTTTAAAACGGTTCTGCAGTTTTGAAGGAAGTATCGTCAGGGTTTTCAATATAATTTTGCCACGCCACACCTCTCCGTGATCATAAAGTAAAATAAACCAAACAATACACCGTGTTTATGTAGAACTTCCACAAAAGAAGTTTATTATTTTGTTACGGTTGTGCCCCCTCTGCTGTCTCCACAGCATAATAAATATTGTTACCATACTGTAGCTGATGATGCTGGTGCACAAAATGAGGAAGTAAATCAAAAGCTATCTTAATTTCAAACTTCATTAGAAACACAGGATAAAGATCAACATTTATGAAATGGAAAAGGGAAAAATGGTAAGGAAAGAGTTTTTATTTTTCAAGCTTCCAAGAGCGTTTTACAAACAACGGAGAGCAAAGTAAAGCTAGAAATGAAATACTTGACAGCATCCTTTTAAAAATTACATCTAAGAAAGCTAATAAAAGTTGAATAAACAAACAGATACTAGAAATAAAAATTTTTACACATATGATATTTGTCTGGGATTTTTATTTCTTTAAAATAATTCATACAAATGGTTACAGTCACAAACATGATTTTAACCAAAAATATTGCTAGCCTACCACATTACCGGGAAGGAATCAATGTAGGCAATGAAATGCTGCTACTTTTCAGTAGTCTAGTGCCTTTTTCGCAAACCACCAATAATATATACTTTAACTGGTGACAAAAAGCACAATGCTTGTTTATACAAAACCTTTTTTTTTTCCTCAAAATTTCTTTGCAATGTTGACTTCATTTTGAAATAAGGGAAATCATGCCAAAATAAGGAAAAACTGTTTTTTCTTTTGTTTACTAAATCATTCTAAAAAATAAGACAAGCAGGTAGAAAAAACAATGCACTGTGTGGCGTAGAAAGAAAAATGGGAAAAATTCATTGTCCTGAGAAGTTTGCCAACTGCCTCATTTTTGGGCATGTTTTAACATATAAAAGAAAGGATTTTAATCTCAAAATTGGTTTGTTGAATGTCTCCCTTATGTGTTTTTTCCTTGTTGACAGCTAAGCAAAACAAACCCTTTTTAATGTTCTAAAAACTGTACACAGACAAGTACATTCATGATATAATTAACTACTAACTTCTTTTGCTTAACAAAGAACCCATAGGACACAGAAACAGTGAATCAGTCCACTGGACAGGGACAAACTACAATTTATATGGAGGAAAAAATGTTTCCGAATCTTCTTTTTGTCTCCCACCTTTTCCTTTTATACTGTATATTGGACCAGTTTCTAAAACAATTATTGTCTCCTCCTGTAAGTTCATGGTTTTGCCTTTATTCAAAATCCAGATTTTTTCCACACACTCTCTGAAGTTGAAATCTCCAATGTTGGGAATGCTGTTTTCTTAGGCTACAATTGGTCACTTGGGTGGTCTCTATCAGCTTCTGGTTTGACTGTTTGGCCGGGGGAAGGAGCATGTGGTGGATGGGCTACAGCAGGAAGGCCGTGTGATAAAGACATGGGGTTAGGAACTATTCCTTCTACTGCCGTAGGTATGCCAGCTGGAGCCACGCTTACAACACCTGGGGGATACCTGCTAAGAGAGGAAAATGAGAACAATTAAAACTCAGAGATGGCTGACGGCAAAGCCCACCTGGCCCAGGAATTGTGCCATCTTCAAGGAGAATGGCAAAGATTTTTGTTTTGTGTATGTAAAGCAAAATTGAGCCCTAAAAACTTGATTTGGTTTTTGAACTTCAAACTTGCTATAGACCTTCAGCATGTGGGAAGGAATGGGGAGGTCACAAACAAAGAACTGTGTTTGTGTTTTGTTACTTTTCCTGGGCAAGCATCATGGTTAAATATTGTAGGGGTTTGCAAGAGAATAACATTTTCAATCTGCAAAAAGAAAAGGAGTATTTGTGGCACCTTAGAGACTAACCAATTTATAGTGGCCGTGATATTATCAGGGCACCAAAAATGGCAAATCGGCAGCTCATGGTCTCTAGATTCTGTGCAGCTGACATTTCAACAACAGCTATGTGTGTCTATCCTCTTTTGTGAGGTTACCAATTTTTTTTTAATCTTCAGCCAAATGCCTCCAATTCACCTTTAGGGGTTCTCTCATACCAGCCACTTATTGTATCCTATAATTCTCTCTCCCACTCCAATCATAAGAACATGCAATTGTCTTTTGTTGTCCTCAACTGGCATTGTGTTTACCCAAGGGCCTTAATGAGGGTGTTTATTTTAAAAGTAGCAGTGTAATCTGCTGGCCTATTACTCATTTAGGCTAAATGGCAGGAATTACAATTGAAGCCTACTGAAACTTTTCTAAATATCAGGGTGGAATTTGGCTGGAATGGCCAGCAAACTCAGAGGAGAGGAAGCAGTATGGAAGCAGCTTTTCTACTTCATCACCTAAATCCCACAGAAGATTCACGTCACAAACACCATACAACTAGAGCTCTGAATGGCTTTTGGGGAAGACATGGCAGGCCAGGAAGTTATCTGTTGGCCTGCTCACTTTGGTGGAGGCTCCCATAGATGTTAATGCTGTTCCTGCTGTTTGGATATCTGTTGATTTAGAGGATCATACCATCTGTCGGCCAACAAATTTAATTCCTCATCCCCCACCCACACGCAACAGAGTACCTTCCATGGAACTCTGCAAGTGTTAATTTAGAGAGTAAAAAGAAAAGGAGTACTTGAAGGAGTACTTCATCCGATGAAGTGAGCTGTAGCTCACGAAAGCTCATGCTCAAATAAATTGGTTAGTCTCTAAGGTGCCACAAGTACTCCTTTTCTTTTTGCGAATACAGACTAACACGGCTGTTACTCTGAAACCAACAATTTATACTTCTCTGCCCCTCCAGAGAGTTTATTCCAGATTGAATTGGCAACTGAAAATGAAATTAGTTCCTACTTTCAGTACTTCAATTTGAATCTTATCAAATTTACTTCAATGCCTATGAATACCTTACAACAGGGCACTGTTTTATTTATTCATATTTAATTTTGAAAAGGGTTTATTCAATAGTTTTTTGTACAAAAATTAAAATACATATCATGAGAGGACAATAATTCTCAAATTAAAAGACACTCCCAACATAGCAGCCCTTGCAACAAAGATTCTCCAGCTTCCAACATCAACCCCTCACCATCTGCCCATTCCTGAAATACTCATGGAAATACATTGTGCTGTCCATGTGCCCACACGGTCAACAAATTTGGGCTCTGACAAATCAGGAAGGGAGCAAATTCCAAAATTGTGTTCTCTTCATAGAGAATTACCTTCCAGACAGCATCTCCCATTTAAACCATACAGGTTCTAGGTCAGGAGTCTCTACTGAAGAATGATATCAGTGTTTGCACAGTAATCCCAATTAATACTAGTAATGAACTATCTTGTGATCCAAATTCTGACCTTCAACCCCTCTTAGCAGAAAAATGTTTCCTATAAATCTAACATCCAAGAGTCATACAATTACTCTTTTGTCCTGAATCTAAACTGGGCGTTATATCAACCAGAATATTGATAACATGTATCTTTGCTGATGCCGCACTAGTACTGCTCCTGTACTCCCAATTTATTTTGCCATGAACTTTTGGTAAATTCTGTCTCGTTATTTTCCCTAATTCAACTATAACAGTGTTATTCCAACCTTTTAATCAATCTTACCTTTAAACACATGTCATGTAAATTCAGCAATCATTTTATATATGCACCTGGCATTTGCAGCCCCGTTGCTTCACTGTTTCATTCTCTCTTACACTGTTAATCAGCTGATGAATTCTATCCAGAGTCTTACAGTCCCTCTCTCCCAACCCTTCATCTCTGGCATCAATAATCCAAAAAACAAGCCAGGTAATTGTGTCATAAACTAATCTAATTGCCCCAGCAGAACCAAGACATAGCTGATCTCACCTCTGTCAAGCTGCTCCTCTCCCCTCCGCCCCCATAGCACTTTATAACAAAATCTCTAACCTTCTGACCTGGGATTAACAATCAACTGTTTACCCATTTTCAATTTAATCCACTTTATTATTATTTACATTGTAGTAGTGCCTAGAGGCCCCAGCCCCACTGGGCTAGGTGCTGTACAAACACATGACAAGAGAATGTCTCCATCCCAAAGTGTTTATAATTTAAGTAAAGATTTACTCTTCCAGGCAGAGTGTGTGAATCACTCTTTAAATACTCTTTAACATGCTATTCATTGTATAATTTATTCCAGTACAGGTAACAACAATAATATCTAAAGTATGGTTATGCTATTCTTGTCTGTATCTGTTTGAAGGCAGAAGACATTTCAATATCTGTAAACTGCATGATCTCTGTGTCTACTGTGGGTCATGTCAATGTATCTGGCTGTATCTTGCACTTTGTGTCACAGTAAACAGAGGTGTATTATTTAATAAGTAGTCCAATAATGAATATACAACAATAATACACCGCAGTGCATGCCTCTACTTTACCTAAGAATTAAGACTATTACATATAGGTTGGTTCCTTTCCATTTCTCTTACATAATTCATCAAACTTCTCAGGTACATCATTAATCTTTGCTTCTGGAACAGTAACTACAGTCCTCTTTGCCTGACCTTCTTAACAGACCAGCTATCCATGTTTAGCATACAATAAATGAGAGATTTCTTTTCTGCAGGATATTATGATTTTCAAAAGGCATTTGATCTGGATTATGTTCAGCTGGTAATTGCTGAACGTTCTTCTTTGCTTGTAACAACAACATATTTGATTCACTTAGAAGTTCTATCCCTTATCACTATTCAAATAACGATATTTCCAGGATTAAATGTTCTTGTTAGTTTTAGTCTACCAAAAGGCATTTTATACATATTTGCATTTTATACATATAAATGACCATCCACATTCTTATCCATATGGTTTTTAGCACATCTGAAAAATTATACTCCTAGTGAGAGACTGCACAACTCAACTGACTGAATGAAAGTCTCATACTGGAAACAGAAGATAAGACAGAAATACTTGTTTCAAACCATCAATTTAACTTTTGTGCTAAAAGCAGAATGGAATTTAACACTAGCAAGTACTGTTATTTAAATTAATTCTTTCATAAAGCCTCAGCTTCAAATCCATATGTTTTTGTATCACCACAACCAATATGGCAATTGTTCCCATTGGCATTTCTTAAAGACTACCCTACATTGGTTTGTACAGATACAATTTATCAAGTTATTTCAGAAATCTTCCTCCAAATTAAGAAATTGTACAGTACTTTCTTCTCAGTCACTCAGTAGTATTGCCCTCTCTACTGAATTTAGAAAATCTTAACTAAATGCAAAAGCTGTTTGTATTTATGGAAATATTACAAATTTTCATAGATTCATAGATACTAAGGTCAGAAGGGACCATTATGATCATCTAGTCCGACCTCCTGCACAACGCAGGCCACAGAATCTCTCCCACCCACTCCTGTGAAAAACCTCTCACCTATGTCTGAGCTACTGAAGTCCTCAAATCGTGGTTTAAAGACTTCAAGGAGCAGAGAATCCTCCAGCAAGTGACCCGTGCCCCGTGCTACAGAGGAAGGCGAAAAACCTCTAGGGCCTCTTCCAATCTGCCCTGGAGGAAAATTCCTTCCTGACCCCAAATATGGCGATCAGCTAAACCCTGAGCATATGGGCAAGATTCACCAGCCAGATACTACAGAAAGTTCTTTCCTGGGTAACTCAGATCCCACCCCATCTAACATCCCATCACAGGCCATTAGGCCTTTTTACCATGAATATTTAAAGATCAATTAATTACCAAAATCATGTTATCCCATGTTTTCCTTTGAAACTGGCAAATGAAGTTGTGAAATGTTTTAAACTTTTACTATGCTTTTGAAAAAAAATGAATGCATGAACTCGCTATTTTCCTTATTCCTAAAAATATTCTTGATACAGTTGGTTTTGGTTACACTTCTGTACTTATATTACTCCAATTAAATACATATTAAAGCTCTGATCCTGTAAAGTCTTATGCATGTGTTTAACTATCCTCTAAACAGAATTATTCTGTGGATAACTTTCCTATGCTTAACCTTCTGTTGAGGCCAGTAAAAATAGCTTTATTCTTTGATATGTTTTGTTCTTTTACTTAGAGCAACAGATAGGCACATTTAACAAAAATAAATAAATTACAAATTGTTCTGATTTGTATGTATATATCACGATTTTGATCAAGACAAAGTTAATATTTTCCTTGAAGCACAGAATACTTGCCAATATATAGATGATGACACTGGACCCTGAGGCCTGGATCCTGAAAGGTATTTAGGCACCTAGCTCCCATGGATTTCAAATACCTATATATCTTTCAGGACATGGGCCTGTCAGCCCAAAGCTACATTCTGATTGGCCACTTGGATCTTTCTGATAATGTTACAACTGTGCTTCACCCAGTGCACAACTAGGGCTTCAACACTGACACACACAGAGACATACACATACAACGTCCCTTCACTCATTATGAGTGAGGGGAAATGCTGATAGGGAGGGCAAAGAAAATAAACAGCCCTTGGAGCATGTGGGAGGAAAGGAACCTGGGGAAGATAAGGAAAAAAGTGAAGGACTGAAGAAGAATTATGACAGTTTTGAACTGTCCCCTCCCTCAAGACATTGCTTTTCAGCAGCAGTTTTGTGGCCTTGTAAACCACTTTAACTCAATTCATAGTGTAAAATCTCAGCTGGGAGCTGCAAGACTGGGCATCTGCTTTTTATAAGAGTAAATGGCTTGAAATTGGCTTGGAGCCATGAACAGCCACTGTTAAGGCATCAGCAGATAAAGAGATGGGAAAAAAGCAGTCAAAACAGTCCCAGGAACTTACAGAAGAGATAAAATAAGCAAAAAAATAGAGAAATTCAAAATAGTAGTGAAATAATATTTATAAACTTCTGCCTATTTTATCTTATCAATGTACTATGAACTACTACTTACAGTGGGAGGATAAAATGACTAGTTCCAAAAATGCTTTGTAAAGAACATTTAAAAAAGAAATGAAATGTACAATTAAGACGACACTTTCTCCATATACATTTATAACAGCAAAGAGCTACTCCAGAAAGTGCATTGGTGGGCTTTTTGTACATATCTTAGGGGGTTAAAAGCAACTAAGATGTGTACCAATAGCTTACTAATGTAACCCCGCTGTGGCTTGCAGCCATATTATTACCTTCGGCAAAATGAACATTAGCTTCCACTGAACTGATTGCAGCCAGTCAGGACTGCTTCCCTTGCACATACAATCTGCACTGTTCCAAACACTGGCATTGGTGCCTTCCGAAGAGGTAATGAATAGAAGCATACTGACTTATTACATCACTGATTTCAGTCAATCATAATCATGTATGTAGCAATTATATAGTAATAAAACTCTATATATACAGGCCAAATCCAACAATAATTTCACAAAATCCTTTTATTAAATGGTGGCTCTTTCTTTCCTTTAAGCTGGAATAGTTGTCTCTGAGATAAACAGCTATTTCTTTTTCTACTTAAGTATCCTTACCTGTACGCAGCACCATTAAGCTCTGGATGAACTACTCCTGGATCCATGCTGGCCCAGTGTGTAGCTGCAGTCAAATGATCTTTGTTAACACAGTTTTTCAGGCTGTCTGGAATACGACCTAGAGAGTGGATATGAAATACAACATGGAATAAAACATGGATATATCATGTATACTCAATAATAAAGTTTAAGTATACTATATGGTATAAATAATAACATATATTATAAATCTCTGTTTCATTTTTGTTTACTCTCTCCCACATCCAGCCTCTTCCTAAATCCTGTCACTGATTTACCTGTGTCATCTCTAAAGTCCATCTTCCCAAATTGCAAAAACCTGTATCCATACTCTGGCTGTCCTTCAGCTCCAACACTGCAGTCTTCTCCTCTCAGTCTCTGACCTTTTCTTCCTGTATTCTGTTTCAGTAACAGCAAACACACACTTCTGAAAAACTGGGATGAAATCATACTTCCACTGCAGTCAATGGGAATTTTGCCATGGACTTGAATGGAACCAGAATTTCACCCCGGACTCTTATTTACCCTCTTCCTTACTCAAATTCCTCCTTAAATATCCACTGCACATTTTCACCTCTCAGTCGCCAAGTATTTCCTACATTTCTAAAGGTAAATTTAAATACATCTGATGATTGCTCTCTCTCTAACCATTTCCTTCAGTATATTTGCTTAGATTTCATGCAGCCTTCAAGTTACAGCTCTTCAGCTTTTTACAGGCAGATGCAACATGAACCGAAGAAAATGGAAAGACTCCCAAATGATTTCAATGGGTGCTGAATCAGTCTTGAATGTCAGTTTTTGGGATGATCTTGGTTCCCTACTGTAAAATAGATTATAATAATCCCACTCCCATTGAAGTAAATGATTGTATTTCCATTGACTTTAATGGGATCTGGACTGGATCCTGTGTCTATTTTTGGCACCTATCCTGCAAGCATCTTCCTTCTTGGGAAATCTGAGACAAAGGGTTCATTTAATTTCATATATTGATCTTTTCAAATCACTATATTAGCCTTGCTGCCATTTAGACACCCCACCAGTCCCCCTTGCTAACATTTATTTTGCACTTTTGTTTATTTTAAATGTATTTTGCAATCTTCTTTCAACTTGTGACTTTTACTTTTCTGTGTCACACTCCCTTTTTTCAGAGTGGATCTATATTCATGTTCTGTAGGCTTTAGGTTTTTCCTTACCTGTGCTTCTTCCTTTGTACTTTTTTCTACAGCACAACCACACTGGTATTTTTATTTATTTTTAAAATTTGAATGTGTTTCTCTTCCAATGGCATGCATATTACTGAGACATGCAGTCATTTATTATGAGTCTTTTTCCAACTATTCTCTTTCTCTCTGTTCCTCCCAGGGCTTTCATCTACTCAATTTCACTCCACACTTTCTATATCTTTTCTACACTTGTTCTGCTGAAATCCAATGTCTTCTCAATACCCTAATGTTGACTTCACTTTAATCTTACTACAAATCACGTGCAAAAGGTTAAAGTGAGAACAGCTTCAATATAAATCAATGCTTTCTAACTTTGATATCACAACCGTCCTGTTCCAGAGCCTTTCCTGTGCACATTTGTGTGTGGGCTATTGCAGAACTTTTAATATATGACCACCTGTTCCTCTGTAGAGTTAACTGATTCATATCCCATACCCCTGACCTAAGAACGACTCCCACCACCAATGCTGCCTCACTGATTGGCCATCCTAGAAATGCAAAGTGGTTTGCACATCCTATCCCAGAGATCAAGAATGTAACTCTTGTGCAAAAAATCCAACCTCCATTAATTTATGGCGCTAGAATCCCTGCCAGCAGAGTTTCCTGAATTGTACAGCAATGTGTTGGCACTCAACCACAGTGCAAGTGAAATAGATAGGTCTTAACGTCTACAGAGCACTCTATCTGAACTGCACAGAGAAAAAAATGACCAAATTCTAAAGAACTGACAATAGTGATGAGTGAAACATTTTCCAGCACACAGAATGCCACCTTTTATTTTGGACTCTATGGGATTCAAATCGAAACCAAGTTGCCCAAACTTCTCCTTATTTTATTAAAAACAACACGGAGTCTGGCGGCACCTCAAAGACTAACAGATTTATTTGGGCATAAGCTTTCGTGGTTAAAAAACCACTTCTTCAGATGCATGGAGTGAAAATGTCTAATTTTCACTCCATGCATCTGAAGAAGTGGTTTTTTAACCACGAAAGCTTATGCCCAAATAAATCTGTTAGTCTTTGAGGTGCCGCCAGACTCCTTGTTGTTTTTATGGATACATACTAACATGGCTACCCCCTGATACTTATTGTATTAGTATTTTGTATTGAAGACTTCACATATTTTTCCTATATAAACAGTTAACATTTATATGGTTTGCTGTGATACTGGAGTTATTAGGAACTCAGAGTTGAAGTGATTTTTTATCCTTGAAAATTACCCCTTCAGATGTTGAAATGCAAGATGCATTTAAATACAAACTTGGATGAATTTTGAAAGGTAGAGAGAAGCCAAGAGAGAACAGAACAAAAGAAACAGCACCAATGATGATGAGTGTCAGGGGACATGTAAGAGTCTACAAAAGGGTGGCTTCAGACCTAAAGCAAAAGCCATGGAAAAGGTCAGTAGACACACCTCCAGCAAGAAAAAGAGGGTGAGATTTTGGTCACAGGGGTACACTCTAAATCATTTGGAAAAATAATTAGTACTGTCAATTAACGGCAGTTAACTCAACCGATTAACTCAAAACAAATTAATTCAATTAAAAAATTAATCGCAACTAATTTTTTTAATTGACCACCCTGAAAATAATTACGTCCTGTCTCGTTACTTTTGTTTATCACTGCAAAGTACCAAAACAATTAGTAGCGGTGGGTACAGAGTTGGTGGGTATCGGCTGGTCTATTTACCTCTTCAAGCTGGGGGTTGGGGGGTTAAGAAAACCCAGTTTGGCCCATCTCAACTTCTAATACTCCGATAAAGAGAAGAATCGATATATTTGTTTAATCAAGAAAACGTTCAGTGAAGGAACAAGTACGAAAAGTTAGTACCTGTGATAGCCCTACGGATCTCTCGTGCTGCTTCTTCCCGCATCTCAATTGAAGCTTGTTCACTGTACCAGGCAGCATGTGGGGTGCAGATCAGGTTTGGTGCATCCTTCAGTGGACCCTGACTAAAGCTAAATGAAATTTTAAAACAAGATCAAATGACAAAAAAAAGAATACATTGGGGGGGTGGGATGGGGAATGAGGGGATTTTTGCATATCTTTAGAATTAACAGCTACAACCACAGGATGAACTGTACCAATATTTTTTGGGTGGATTTGTTTTTAAATTTTACAGTTAATTTGATGTATTTCTAGTTGTGTAAATAAGTAACAATTATTCTCCTTGGACTCAAGGGGTGGAATAAAAGAGAAAGCAGCACTAGATTCTGACCAGTGCACCTATTTCTAATCACTGCCACTCACAATCAGATCGAGAAAAAGATACGGTGAGCCCAATCCCAACATCTGTTCAAGAAACGACTCCATTTGGGTCCATTATGACAAAATTTATCATCATTTTTACACCCCTAACAAAGCTTTGTTTCTTTAAAGAGACACTGTTAGCTTGAAATCTAGTCAATTAAAAAAAAAAGTTAAAATTAGTTCCAGGTAATACACTTGCCTGCATCCCCCTGACAATTTTTCCTATTTCACATTTTCCTGTTTTTAATTGGTTTCTCTTTCCTGTTGCAGTGTGAAAAACCCACCTAACAATACTAGAGATGGACTAACTGACCGACTGACTATCCAGGGGAAGCAATGAAACCAACTATACAAAAAGTGCTGTCAAATGTACAAACTAAAACTGAGAAAATAGTGACACTTTCCCCCTCCAATTTCTTTCAGTTATAATAATCTTGAAGTGTTACTTGCAAGAAGAGGAGAGAAAATATTTTTAGACAGAAGTCTGCTCTCAGAGTTGGCAGCAATTCTTAAAGCGACAGACTTCATCTCTAGTTTTAAATACCTGCCAAAACTTTCTCCAATACAATATTTGCACGACAACGGTTAGTCTCTATGGACTAAATGCTGTCCTCAGACAACACACACTGAAGCCCAAGGAAACTATGACCCTGATCTTGCACTTAAATCTACGTTGATGGACCCTTGACCTACAGGGACTCCCCACTCTAGTCAATGCGACTTCTTGTGGGTGCAAGGATTTGCTTGTGCAGATCTGATGGCAGGAGTGGGGATATCTGAAAGCAGAATTTTGCCCCCTGGATATTAGACTGTGGTTTTGCTCACAGTATTGCTCTGTTGTAATGGTTACACTTAGAAGTAAACAAATGCAGGGCCAGAATAAGGATTTTTTTTTTGATGTGGCATCCTGTATACTACAGATGCAAAAACTCTACAGGGAAGGACCCTTTTTATCACTATTTTTAAAAGGGTTATCTCAGATGATCTCTCAGACGTCTGATGAGCGGAAAATCACGAAACAGATGTCTCTATAACGGATCCTCAATTCCTGAATCTGTTCCTCTTCAAGTTATGAGGATTGTAGCAGTTTAAACCATCTAATAAGAAATGCAGGCTTCTTCCTGCCCGCACCCAGCAACTGCATGATTGTCAGTTCCTAGGTTTAATCCATTGCAAACCACTCCCAAACTCAGAGGTCAGGCTCAGGACTCATGGAAAGACTGTAATGGTGTTTTCTGTGTTTAAATCATACCACCAAAGCTACTAACTGGAGACACTGGTACATTTGTGGCTGCAACTGTGGACTACCTCATGGTATTCAGCAAACTAAACATAGTGTCACCAGCTCTGCTAATGGCATCAAAAATATCTGGACTCTGGTCATCTCTCTCAATTCCACAAACTTGCCTGCTTATAATTCTCAGGTACCCAGCAGAGAGAATCTGGGTGATGGATACGGAATCTATGCAATGAGGTGGGAGGGTCACACCCATACAGCTTCATAAAAGGATAGTTTTTCCCAAAAAATCTCAACTCCCCCCACCTTACTGAAAAGTACTTATACTACCACTAACTTTCCTCTGGCAGGGAGAGCTGGCCAGGGCTTCCCCCTATCAATGACAGGAAAGGAGTGTGTTCTTTTCCAGGCCATGAAGCACAAAGCCATGCCCAGCATTTGAACTTGGGTTCTTGGGGCAGGGCAGTACACTTCACTACTGAATTACCCCCATGACATTTTTTTAAATCTTGTATTTAACTTTTTTTTCTGCTCCCTCCTGACTGTGTACAAAAGCTCCATCTGCATTTACATTAATCCAGAGCTGCACAGATACATATTGCTTTACTAAGGAGGATTCAACTGCTAGGTGGAAGGAACGCTTCTTTGCTTCATTGTTGTTGGATGCATCATGCACTAATACTTAAAAATAAGAAAGCGAACAAAATATAAAAAAAGAAAAAAGAAAAAAAAAAGGAAAAGCACCTGAATGGTTCTGACTCATGTACATCTAAGGCTGCCCCTCGTATCCTTCCTTCCTTCAGGGCCTGTGCAAGTGCTTTTTCGTCTACTAACCCACCTCGAGCTGTGTTGACCAGGAAAGCCCCTTGTCTCATCTAGGGAAAGTTAAAAACAAGGATGATGAAATAAAAATAAATGAAATAAAATCGTTGTGGCATTATTATTTACTCAAAGGAAGCATCCATTACAACAAAGGCTATTCAACTGGATTAACCTATCACCAGTTGTCTTCCCTTTTGGAAAGTACCATAAAATTTGATGCTTCAAATGTAAAACAATATTTCACAGCACTTATAACGTTTTGTTTCTTATAAGTAGGGTGTCTTGTAACAGAACCAATGCTTTACACACTGTGCAGTATACGATCAGAAGAGGTAAACATGCATATGAAGCTGACAGATTATTATTATTTTTTTTATTTCACTGTGAAATTGTATGAGACGGAAGCTATTACACATTGCTAACCAAAATCACATGTTGTGGTTTTTAAACTTTAATGCAAATGAAACGCTAAATGGATCTTTTAGAAAGCTCAATGATTTTGTATCTTCCAAGACCTTTTGCTTTAGTTAACAAGATGTAGAAGATTTATACTTTATTTACTGCTGATACTTAAACTCACTTCCCCCTCCTCATGAGACTTTTCAAATCAAGACCCAGGAAATTCTCGTTTTATTCAATTAGAAGGCATTGGAATGGTATTGGCTGGGAATATTGTGAGCTTTGGCAAGAGTCTGTGCACTGCGTTGCTCAGATTAGCATTATGGTCCTCCACACTCAGCTTCAGCTACAAGACTTCATGCCATAATGTAATCGCAACATGAACACAAAATGGAGATTTAAATTAGAAAGATGATAGTCTAGAATGAAGGTAGAAATAAAGACTTCAGGGTCTCACGTCAATCAGCACCAGTATTCAAGCATCCATAGCATGTTTCCCATACGTAGGCCCCGACCCTGCAAACATTACTCCTGGGGGAATTCTGTGCCAAAATGTTAAAAATTCTGCACCAAAACATTTAAAATTCTGCGCACAATATTTTAAATTCTGTAAAATGCTGCATGTTTTATTTGTCAAAATACACAATATAATCATGCTGGTTTCAATTATTTTGGTAATTTCTTTAAACTATAATACAATGGATGGAGAATGGGAGTGGGGAGCATTAGAGGAAATCTCCAAATCCCCTCTGACAGTAATGTAGCTAGGTTTGACCCTTTATTTCTAGTTATTAGTCAACAAATATATGCAGCCATATGCTCAATGTTACATCATAGGCAACTGAAGAGCAAGTGAGGGCTGAGGAATCAAACTAACAATTTATATTGGGTACTGACCATCTCCAAAAACGTCAGCAGCAAACAGTTCATGAAGCACATTTTGATCAGAAATTTTTTCAGTCCAAAAATTTAGACCAGTTCTAATCACTAAAGCACCATAAGCATTTATGAGGCCATACTGTCCTTTACACCACTCTGGCAATGTAAAGGAGCCTTAAAACATTTACACCTGTTTTATACTCCTGGGGGGAATTCACTAAGAACAGTGGGAACAATTCACTAAGCATTCTGCTCTGCCTGAGGGGGACAGAGCTTGCACCACAACTGCCTCCTCAGAACCCCCCCAAAATCCTGCCCTTCCACACCAAGCATGCTACAATAGCAAGCGAGAGGGACAGAGTGTCTCTTTCCATCTCACATGCATGACTGCCCAGCCCCGCCAGGCTTCCCACCCCGGCGGTGATTTATGTCTCTACCGGCTGCTCCAGGTGCCAGAACTGACCTGCCTGCACTGACCGAGAGCGGCGTATGACCACTTTGTTTCCCCATCAGAAGTCATTTTTCTGTGGGAAGCAAAGAAATCTGCATGGCACACGAATTCTGCACGTGCGAAGTGACACAGAATTCCCTCCAGGAGTAATACATTCCCATGCATCAAACTGAGCATCTGTAGAAGTGTTTGCAGGATAGGGGTCATAAATAAAGATGGGTGCCCAAGTCCCCATCTTGATCTGATCCCATCATCTCAAAAACAACAACACGATTTTTGAATAGCGAATGAACTCTAACAACTTATTCTAAATGGGAAAAGGATTTTTACAGGATCATCAGTCGCTCTTTTGCAACTAACGCCTTGGCTAGAAATGCCAAACTGATGCACAGTAGGAGTATTTAAAGGAAAAAGTGCAAGGAAAGGAATCTCCTCAAAGTCGTTTGGTAGGATGGTGGGAAACAAAACTAAGATTTACACATATCTGATAAGATCATAACAGAATTCATGTACTACATTGGCCAACCCACCCGCTCTAACCATGGTCTGACCCCTCTCACCTGCAGATTTTTAGCCCTGCCGGGGGACATCTATAGATTCCAGGGAAGCATACGTGTGCACTGCCCAATTCAGCACTCACATAAGTGACAGGACGTATTGGCCTTAAGTATCGTGTAGAACATTTATATATCCTCTAAAGAGCTTGGAAATTTTAATCATAGTGGATACTGCTCAAATCCATTTTCCATCCACAAAAACCTGCCTTGACTTTTCATCTCCAGTGCTATTTATACAGCTGTAAAGCTAGTAGTAGGATAAATCAAAACCAAACAGAATGTGGATGTATAACTGTATTCTAGAGGGAGTGAGCTACGTGAGTCACAGTCAACTGCAACGGTAGTTGCATATTAGGAATGACTCTTTTTTACTACTCTAAATTAATCCTGTGTAACTGCTATTATTATACAAGAGATATTGCCATAAATAAAATGTCTCCTTTATGAGTTTGTAATGTGATGAACAGGTAAAGATGATTTCTGCTTCAGAAAAAGAGCAATGAGCACTCATTGCCCTGGACTCAGTTTACTTGAGCTACATAGGAGATGGAAGGCCAAATGTGCTGGCTGGGCAATACACCAAATAATTTAGAGGATAAGTCAGCCTAACAAGGAAAGAGAGGCTCCTTCCTAAACTTTTCAAAGAGGTTCAAGGACATTCAATTTAAAAGATCCATTAACAAGCAGTTCAGGTTGTGACCTTCCCCTTTGTGTATATATAAATGAGACCTTTTCATTACATTAACACATAACACTGGATAATGTGGCATATTTTATCATTGAAGACATATAGACCAACTATGGCATATGTAGGTATAAAAATGATGGCTAATTTGTAATTTATATACATAAAAATTAAGTCAATTAGATAATTATGGAATATACCATTAGACTATAAACCATTAGAAGACACTGAAGGGTTAACCCTTTTTCATAAATTAAGCAAAGAATTTATATTTTGCAATTTATTTGAGCATAAGCTTTCGTGAGCTACAGCTCACTTCATCGGATGCATTCAGTGGAAAATACAGTGAGGAGATTTATATACACACAGAACATGAAAAAATGGGTGTTATCATACACATTGTAAGGAGAGTGATCACTTAAGATGAGCTATTACCAGCAGGAGAGTTGGGGGGGAAGGCGGGGGGAGAAAACCTTTTGTAGTGATAATCAAGGTGGGCCATTTCCAGCAGGTAACAGGAACGTCCAGCTATCTTCGAGACACCACTGACTTCCTGAGGAAACTACAATCCATCGGTGATCTTCCTGAAAACACAATCCTGGCCACTATGGATGTAGAAGCCCTCTACACCAACATTCCACACAAAGATGGACTACAAGCCATAAGGAACAGTATCCCCGATAATGTCATGGCAAACTTGGTGGCTGAACTTTGTGACTTTGTCCTCACCCATAACTATTTCACATTTGGGGACAATGTATACTTCAAATCATCGGCACTGCTATGGGTACCCGCATGGCCCTACAATATGCCAACATTTTTATGGCTGACTTAGAACAACGCTTCCTCAGCTCTCGTCCCCTAACGCCCCTACTCCACTTGCGCTATATTGATGACATCTTCATCATCTGGACCCATGAAAAAGAAGCCCTTGAGGAATTCCACCATGATTTCAACACTTTCCATCCCACCATCAACCTCAGCCTGGACCAGTCCACACAAGAGATCTACTTCCTGGACACTACAGTGCTAATAAACGATGGTCACATAAACACCACCCTATACCGGAAACCTACTGACCGCTATTCCTACCTACATGCCTCCAGCTTTCACCCAGACCACACCACACGATCCATCGTCTACAGCCAAGCTCTACGATACAACCGCATTTGCTCCAACCCCTCAGACAGAGACATACACCTACAAGATCTCTATCAAGCATTCTTACAATACCCACCTGCTGAGGTGAACAAACAAATTGACAGAGCCAGAAGAGTACCCAGAAGTCACCTACTACAGGACAGGCCCAGCAAAGAAAATAACAGAACGTCACTAGCCATCACCTTCAGCCCCCAACTAAAACCTCTCCAATGCATCATCAAGGATCTACAACCTATCCTGAAGGACGACCCATCGCTCTCACAAATCTTGGGAGACAGGCCAGTCCTTGCCTACAGACAGCCCCCCAACCTGAAGCAAATACTCTCCAGCAACCACACACCACACAACAGAACCACTAACCCAGGAACCTATCTTTGCAACAAAGCCCGTTGCCAACTGTGTCCACATATCTATTCAGGGGACACCATCCTAGGACCTAATCACATCAGCCACACTATCAGAGGCTCGTTCACCTGCACATCTACCAATGTGATATATGCCATCATGTGCCAGCAATGCCCCTCTGCCATGTACATTGGTCAAACTGGACAGTCTCTACGTAAAAGAATAAACGGACACAAATCAGATGTCAAGAATTGTAACATTCATAAACCAGTCGGAGAACACTTCAATCTCTCTGGTCACTCGATTACAGACCTAAAGGTCGCAATATTACAACAAAAAGACTTCAAAAACAGACTCCAACGAGAGACTATTGAATTGGAATTAATTTGCAAATTGGATACAATTAACTTAGGCTTGAATAGAGACTGGGAGTGGATGTGTCATTACACAAAGTAAAAGTATTTCCCCATGTTTATTTCTCCCCCACTGTTCCTCAGACGTTCCTGTTAACTGCTGGAAATGGCCCACCTTGATTATCACTACAAAAAGGTCCCCCCCCCCCCACGCTCTCCTGCTCGTAATAGCTCATCTTAAGTGATCACTCTCCTTATACTCTCCTTACAGTGTGTATGATAACACCCATTTTTTCATGTTCTGTGCGTATATAAATCTCCTCACTGTATTTTCCACTGAATGCATCCAATGAAGTGAGCTGTAGCTCACGAAAGCTTATGCTCAAATAAATTGGTTAGTCTCTAAGATGCCACTAGTACTCCTTTTCTTTTTGCAAATACAGACGAACACGGCTGCTACTCTGAAATTTATATTTTGTCACAATAAAGCCAGCTAGTAGCATTGTAACTATGCCCTGGTCTACGCTGGGGGGAGGGGGAGGTGAAATCGATCTAAGTTACGCAACTTCAGCTACGTGAATAACGTAGCTGAAGTCGAAATACTTAGACCTACTCACTGCGGTGTCTTCACTATGGTGAGTCAACTGCTGCCATTCCCCCGTTGACTCTGCCTGTGCCTCTCGCGGCGGCGGAGTATAGAAGTCGCTGGGGGAGCGTTCGGGGGTTGACTAAGTTAGACTAGACAGATAAATCAATCCCCCCTGAATCGATCGCTGCCCGCCGATCTGGCGGGTAGTATAGACATACCCTATGTAAATATTAATAGTATCTCCAAATTATACTAATGACAACATTATTTTAAACAGTCATCAAATGTTAATGAAAATATAATAAAAATGGATGAATAACATGTTGTAGCCATGTTAGTGGATATTAGAAAGACAAAGTGGGTGAGGTAATATCTTTTATTGGACCAACTTCTGTTGGAGAGAGACAAGCTTTCGAGCTCACACAAAGCTCTTATTCAGGTCTAAGAAAAGCTCATCATGAGAGTGTGGGATGGGCGTCCAGTGCAGGTACTCTACAAGCTCGAAAGCCTGTCTGTTTCTCACCAACCAAAGTTGGTCCAATAAAAAAAGATATTCCTCACTCACCTTGCCGCTGAAGAACATATTGTCTAAAATATGATAGGGACTGGAGTTCCTGTGAATTTGCTATATGAATAACAGCTATATTTAATATAAATATTATATAAAGTGAATTTTATATGTTATTACGAATATTTTGTTTTTCAATTTACCTAATACTTTTATGAATTTATACCATATCAGCTGTTAAAGCAAAGACTGTATAACATAATGTATTCATACTCTTTATCCAAACTTCCATTTTATTTGAAGTAACGCATATCTAATATTTTATTACAATTTCTATTTTCTTAATAGAGAGTAATAAATAACAATATAAATGCATTTGATAAAATGCCATTTAAATGACATACTTTCTTATTTAATTTTAATGTGTAGATATCATTCAGCTTTAATTTTTGCTTATGTCTTGTTTCTGTACACAGCAGACCAGGCAGGTTTTCAAAGTACATACAACTTCTATATCTCAACACTAATAAGTCCTATTTACAAAATACGTATGTTGGACCCAATCTCACAATTCACTGGAACGCTGGAGCACTGCTGAGCCTATGTGAAGTCCAAGTGATTTCAGTGGAGCTCCATGTGGGTGCAGATCACTTGCCTCCACAGTGCTTCTTAACACACTGAGACTTTTCTGCTCAGTATTATATGATAACGTAATGAAAGAGTAATCATAATGTACGAGTGTAGTAGAAGAACCTATACTGAACAGAACAAAAGTCTAGAACAAAGACGTGACAGAGGACAGCTTTCTTTGCTCCCTTCACACTGCATTTCCTAGCTTTTGAGAGAGTTTTAAACTCAGATGATCTTGTACTTGGATTTTTCTACATACAGCCAATTGTCCAATTAAAGTATCCATTATTACATCTCATTAACATGAAGGCATGATCGATCCTATGAGATGTCGAGCATCCTCAACTCATATTGAAATCCCACTGAAGTCCATGGGCATAGCAGGTATTGGGTATTTCTCAGAAGCTGACCAATCATCATCTTAATTCAGTAGAGATATCTTCCATAGAACTTTTGTGTGGTATCAAATAAATTAATACAATAGATGTATATAGAGCATCAACAATACAAAATGAACATACATGATTTCTTAGTTCAATTTACCATTTTTACTTATATAATTGCCACACTCATACATTTAAAAAAGCTACACCTTTTAATATACATTATATATACACACCAAGGTTTGAGGCAGCAAATAAATACTGAATGCAAAAACCAAAATGTTTACCTTCTGAATTTCTCCAAAAAGGAACAATTGCTTCAGTTCTACACTTGAATATGTTTTAAGTATTTAGTAATTTTAGAATGCTTCATCTCAAGACCAAATCCATGTTATATATTATTTTCCCCAAATAACCTACTACTGTAGTGTAAGCAATTATGAGGGAAACATTCTGCAACCATTAGGAATTAACACAAGAGGTCGCCAGTTAGTCATGATCCTTAAGTTAGGGATACAGAAACTCAAACTGTAATTGAAGTATAAAAGTGAAGTGCAACTTTTGTTACTAATATAAAGAGGATGTATGTACCTGAAGATACAACAGAAGTGCTTTTAAGTAAATGTCAATGAATCAAGCAACTACATCTGATCAGTGTTCAGCATAACACACTATTTCAACAAAAGAGAAATTAGCAAGTAAAATGAATAAAAAATAACACTGTATAAGATATCATGTATTTCTTAACTAGTTATTAACCTGCTTAACAAATAGTGAAATAGCAGATGGAAGAGAAAATTAATACAGATCTGAATTTGCATGTTTACACAGAGAAACTCTACAGTTTGCAGAAAGTCAGTAATTATAAAACTACACCCAGCCTGTAGGGTACATTTGGATGGTTACCTGTTTAATGGTGAAGTCATTAATAAGATGATGATTGTGTTCATTCAAGTTGCAGTGCAGGGTTACACAGTCACTGTGAAATAGCAGGTCCTGTAAAGTGCTCACCCGCTGCAGTCCAAGAGCACGTTCAATGCCATCTGAGAGGTATGGGTCATAAAAAAGAACACTAAAGCCAAAGGCCTTTGCACGTAGTGCGACTGCTTGCCCAACCCGTCCTAGAATGACACAGACATACAAACAAGAGAGAATGTTTCTGGTAGAAAGTGGCATATTTGTGTAATTATTGTTACGAAACATGTACGTGGTGCTGTAAACTTACATGCGATTTTACAGAACATAGGAAAGAGACATCCCATGTCCCATTAGAAATTCTCATTACATAGCTTTATATTTAAGGGTTGGTTTATGCCATCCCTGACCAAAACAAAGCAACAAGACTGCTCCATAAAATATAAACAAAATGGCAAGCTGTAATGCCAAAAGGTGGATTGTATGAGACCTATGGTAACCTGGGTCTGCTCAACAGGTGGCACTATTTGCTGGACGTGCTGACGACAAATCACTGATGTTCCGGACTGTTCCCTGCGGTGTAGTTGTTGCCACGCCAGTCCCAGGTATATGAGAGAGACAAGGTGGGTGAGGCAATACCTGAAGAAGAGCTCTATGTAGCTCAAAACCTTCTCTCTCTCACCAACGGAAGATGGTCCAATAAAAGATATTACCTCACTCACCTTATCCCTGCGAAGTACTCATTTTTCTCCATGTCTGCACAGTCAGCTCGAATAAAAGGTTGTTAAGTGAATGTCTGCAATTTCAGTTAATACGAAATAATTTCTTTAAAGTTCCCTCTCTGCCTGAATTTATGACACACTACACAGCAAGCTGTGACAACATGATTATTTCAAAAACAGGTCAATATTCAAAACATTCAAATTCTTGCAATTGCTATTAGCAGATGAGTCTACCCTCCCAACTTGTTTTCAGTTTATGCAGTCTTTAAAATCCTTTCAGCTCACCTGCCCTGCCCCCGCCCCCATCCCCATGTGCACTTTCTGAGATGGTACTTTCCACTTTTACATTCTTCTTGATGATGGGCTTATTCTGTAATGCCTACAAGAAACCTGCCATAGGTCTTCTGTTTGTTCATTGTCCATATAGCTAAACCATAAACAAAGGGGCTCCATCATAACATGCACTACTCCTGTTGAGTAGCTGCAGTGATAATCTTGTACTGCGTAGTGTCTAGAGGCAACACTGTGGTAGGCACTGTACACCCATCTATAATGAAAAGACAGTCCCTAGCCTAAAATAAACTCATAATCTAAGTAGTACAATCTACCTTATTGCCTTAGTTCTTCCTCATTTACCCTTTCTTACTCTTATTACTTCCTTAAGTCATGTTTTAAATTGGTTTAAGGAAAGGATCCCACCTTGCATGTGTACTGGGAGGTCCTTATCTCACTTATTATAACACACAGATAAGTAATACTAAATCAAGGTCACAGGACTGGCATGTTCTGTGTGAAGAGAGTTTGGGAATACAAATGTTTTGAAGAAATACAACTATTTGTACGGTACTGTACTTTACATTCAGCTATCAGGTTGAGAATTTGAGACATAAGGATATTTCAGAAGTATCAGAATCACTAGACTCACCAGGAAAGCCAATGCTCAGTCTTAAAAATATCGATGGAAAGTTTTGTTTTGTAACATCTGTGTCTATTCAAAATGCAACAGAAGAAGATGGAAAGACATGGGATTTTCCTAACCGTGTTTTAAGGGATTTCCCAATGTTCTTCAGTTTCTTTTTGAATAAACACAAGAAGCCACAAAAAGAGGTTTCTTCTTGACCATCTAACCTGAACACAGTAATTCTGGAGTGTCTGGTACATTTAGAATTCTGGAGTGTCTGATACATTTAGAATATTGAGCAGTCAGTCAATATAACTGGTACTGTTTGCTATTCCCTTGGGACTTCTATTAAGACACAGTCTTCAAAACATATTGAAATAAAAGACTGTGTATACTAGTTGTTTACTTTTGAGGATCTGTTTATAATGCTTAATATGCAGCAAGGGAGATTTAGGTTGGATATTAGGAAAAACTTTCTAACTATAAGGGCAATTCACCTCTGGAATAGGTTTCCAAGGGAGGTTGTGAAATCGCAATCACTGGAGGCTTTTCAGAACAGGTTGGACAAACACCAGTCAGCAATGATCTAGGTTTACTTGTTCCTGCCACAGCACAAGGAGCTGGACTTGATGACTTCTTGAGGTCCCTTCCAGCCCTACATTTCTAGGATTCTATGAAAATCAGAAATATAGCAAACTTCTAGTGTAATTAAAATATTTTTCAAGATTTGGGACCTATATAGCTCAGTGTACATAATTTGTGAACAATAATTTCACAAAGAATAAAGTGTATTACATGTGCTATCTTCCTGTACCTCTCACCTTTGGAATACATTATGGGTGGGTCTATTGGAATGGACTGACCAGTTTAAAACTGAAACCTTGGTTGTAATCAACAGAATGTTGGTGTGTAGACTAATATATTAGAGCCTTCAAATGCATGTGTGGAACCTCCCACTGAAATCACCGGGAGCCACGTGTATGTGTTTGAGGGAAGAAACTGGCCAATGATGATTTAACGGGAGAAAAGTTTGCTGTAGCTGATGGTCCAGATTTAACCATAATCTCTGTACATGGAACAGACTGCATCATGAATCGGCCACAAGTTTAAGAACGTAAGAGCAGCCATACTGGGTCAGACCAATGATCCATCTAGCCCAGTATTCTGTCTTCTGACAATGTCCACTGCCAAATGCTTCAAAGGAAAGTAATAGAACAGGGTAATTATCAAGTGATCCATCCCATCTGATCCATCCCTAACTTCTGGCAGCCAGAGGTTTAGAGACACCCAGAGCATGGGGTTGTGTCCCGACCATCTTGACTAATAGTGATTGATAGACCTATACTCCATGATCTTATCAAATTCTTTTTCTGAACCCAGTTACAATTTTGGCCTTCAAAACATTCCATGACAAAGAGTTCCACAAGTTGACTGTGCGTTGTGTGAAGAAGTACTTCCTTTTTTTTTTAAACCTGTTGCCTATTAATTTCCTTGGGTTTACTTTTGAAATTACTGTCAAACAACACAGCACAACTCTACAGCCTGTGACAGCTTTCCTTTCTATCCTGAAAATGTTTCTAAAAAATAAATCTAATTTAAGGAAATTACCAGTTGTGCAGTCTTGCAAACTGCTCTGAGGAAGCTCATAGTAGGAAGGTGATATGGAAGGGGGGGGTTCAGCTGTTGTGACCTGCACTGGATGTGCCATGTTTGTCTTTCTTCCACAGGACAGAAGCGACTTTGTCTGTACAAAGTGCAAGCTGGTCTCCAAATTGGAAGAGAAGATTGAAGGTCTGGAGCAACAGATAACGACCCTGCGTTGCATACGGGAAACTGAGGATTTTCTGGACAAAACTCAGGATAGGCTTCTAGGGGCACAAAGCTCTACAGATACAGAGCAGGTTGCACAGAGGAGCCAAGAGGCCAGTGAAGAAGCTTGGCAACATGTGACCTCCAGAAGAGGTAAGCGGAATGTCCGGGTTCCAGTAACACAGACACAGGTAACTAACCGCTTTCATGTTCTCTCCACAGGTATCGTTGCGGAGAGCGGACCAGATGATATGTCTGGGGCGAGAAAGCAGAAGGAGACTCCGCTGGTTGGAAGGCATGAGATGCGCTGTCCTGAGGTTGGGAGTTCCACGACCACCACTCCCAAGAGGAGAAGGCGGGTGGTGGTGGTCGGGGACTCGCTCCTCCGGGGGACTGAGTCATCTATCTGCCACCCTGACCGGGAAAACCGAGAAGTCTGCTGCTTGCCGGGGGCTAAGATTCGCGATGTGACGGAGAGACTGCCGAGACTCATCAAGCCCTCGGATCGCTACCCCTTCCTGCTTCTCCACGTGGGCACCAATGATACTGCCAAGAATGACCTTGAGCGGATCACTGCGGACTATGTGGCTCTAGGAAGAAGGATAAAGGAGTTGGAGGTGCAAGTGGTGTTCTCGTCCATCCTCCCCGTGGAAGGAGAAGGCCTAAGTAGGGAGCGTCGAATCGTGGAAGTCAACGAATGGCTACGCAGGTGGTGTCGGAGAGAAGGCTTTGGATTCTTCGACCATGGGATGGTGTTCCAAGAAGGAGTGCTAGGCAGAGACGGGCTCCACTTAACGAAGAGAGGGAAGAGCATCTTCGCGAGCAGGCTGGCTAACCTAGTGAGGAGGGCTTTAAACTAGGTTCACCGGGGGAAGGAGACCAAAGCCCTGAGGTAAGTGGGAAAGCGGGATACCGGGAGGAAGCACAGGCAGGAATGTCTGTGAGAGGAGGGCTCCTGCCTCATACTGGGAATGAGGGGCGATCAACAGGTTATCTCAAGTGCTTATATACAAATGCACAAAGCCTTGGAAACAAGCAGGGAGAACTGGAGGTCCTGGTGATGTCAAGGAACTATGACGTGATTGGAATAACAGAGACTTGGTGGGATAACTCACATGACTGGAGTACTGTCATGGATAGTTATAAACTGTTCAGGAAGGACAGGCAGGGCAGAAAAGGTGGGGGAGTAGCACTGTATGTAAGGGAGCAGTATGACTGCTCAGAGCTCCGGTACGAAACTGCAGAAAAACCTGAGTGTCTCTGGATTAAGTTTAGAAGTGTGTGCAACAAGAGTGATGTAGTGGTGGGAGTCTGCTATAGACCACCGGACCAGGGGGATGAGGTAGATGAGGCTTTCTTCCGGCAGCTCACGGAAGCTACTGGATCGCATGCCCTGATTCTCATGGGTGACTTTAATTTTCCTGATATCTGCTGGGAGAGCAATACAGCAGTGCATAGACAATCCAGGAAGTTTTTGGAAAGCGCAGGGGACAATTTCCTGGCGCAAGTGCTCGAGGAGCCAACTAGGGGGCGCTTTTCTTGACCTGCTGCTCACAAACCGGGTAGAATTAGTGGGGGAAGCAAAAGTGGATGGGAATCTGGGAGGCAGTGACCATGAGTTGGTTGAGTTCAGGATCCTGACACAGGGAAGAAAGGTAAGCAGCACGATACGGACCCTGGACTTCAGGAAAGCAGACTTCGACTCCCTCAGGGAACGGATGGCCAGGATCCCCTGGGGGACTAACTTGAAGGGGAAAGGAGTCCAGGAGAGCTG